AAAAAAGAACAGAAACGCCAGGTAAAATCATTACATGGGAGAGGTTTGTTGTGCCAGAGGTACCTGCGGAGATACCACTTGCTGCGGCTGTGCCGCTTGCTGCTGTTGCTGTTGCTGCTGCTGCTGCTGCTGCTGCATCCACCGATATGAATCGATATGCGATAAGTCTTCCTCCAAGAGGCCCATCATATTGCGGTTCCCAGAGAACCAGTCCGCTATCTGTGCGGCCTGGCTACTGAGTGGCGGTGGACCACCGGCCGCGTTCGTATTCCCCATGGTCTGATCCTCGGTAGGCATAAAGCCCAGCTGGCTGAGGTACATTTCGAACTCGTCGCCAATGGGGACCATGGTCTGATCCTGTTGCTGTTGAGATTTGGCTTCCACGTAGAGGCTGGCCACGTCGCACATGACTTGGCATAGACGATAGAGCTTTTCAATCGTCTCCGAGGAATTTCTTGCTTCGTCGAGAGAGTCGACGAATTCTTGGAGTAATCGGAGGTCATCCAGGGAGCCGGTTTCGATGACATAGCACAAGAGGACAAAGAATGGCGCGAAGGGGGTGAGGAGAAGGTTCCTGAAAATTCGCATCAACATTGTGTATCATTAGTCATGAAGGAAATGGCCAAAAGGACGTACCAATGGATGTAAATTGATCTGAAGTAGCCGCCAATCGTAGACCTCTTGGTGCACTCTTGGTGCACCTTCATGGCTTTTCGAGCCGTTGACAAGCACTCGTCGCAAAAGCGACTCACTGAGCCTTCAGGCGCAGGGATGACGCGGTATACCAGTGTCAAGGTGACCTGGAACTGAACCTCGTCGCCTCGCAAGAATACGTCGACCAGATCAGATGAATTCACCGCCTTGAGGTAGGCGTACGTCTCATTACGGGCCTTGTCGGCTTCTACCTCGAACTTTCGGCACTCACTGGCCAGGGCTCTTGCTCGTTCAATTAGATCTGCCGGGGGGCTTTTCAGGGCGCTCGGGCTATATAGCTGCTCGTATATTCGGCTTTGCAGATAGCTCATCTTGATCCAGAGAGTGGGAATCGTTGATGAGTCTTCTTGCCCCAGACCATCAAACTCGAATACGCGCGGGATATCAATGTCGCACTCATGTATGACTGGGGCTCGGCCAAGCCTGAGGCCTAGACCTTTGTCAAGAGTGTATACATGCCAAAAGAGTATCCTCTTTAACTTGGCTGTTGCTGGCGGGTCGAATTTGAGTGATTCCGAGCGATGAAAACCACCAGTTTGGCAGAGCTGAGCTGCCATGCAGGATAATTGCCATGCGACTGAAGGGCGGGATACATCTACAGCATAGAGAGCCTGGGTCTAATATGTTAGCAGGGAACCTCCGTGGTCCATGGGTGTTGGGACGCTACATACGCCTAGTAGTAGTGCTTGAACATTTTCGACTCTTGTTGCCAGGAATAGATGTGTATTCGCAAGAGCAGTCTCGAGGTTGGCTTGACTCTGACTCATATATGCGTGGTACTCATCCCGTGCCATGGGATCGGTAGCAAGTGAGCTTTGCTCCATGAAAAGGTTATAGAGCATGGCATTAACAATTATAAATGTAGCGTCAGAAAACTCCTCTGTTGCAAAATACACCCTGCGACACAGCCCGGTAAAGTCCGGGAGCCCGACGAGCGAACACATGATGGTGAACAGGGTTGGCGGAGCAGCTTGTGGAGTGTTAGTTTGCCTCGCTTGAAGTATACGGGTGAGGGGATGGAAGATGAAAAAAAGATTGTACCTTTGGCATGCTTTAAAAGACTCACAACTGCCTGCATCGGCGGCATAGGGAGCTTTGAGATACCACCTGGTGGCACAGGCTTCTGGAGAGGAAACCGGGGACCGTGACTTATTGATCGACGTTTTTGCATCTCAACCAATTGGCTCAGGTTATTCAAACCGGCAGCCATCTTGGGATTCACTTCACGGAGGGATGTCCTCTTGACGGCACTCTCGAGGAACTCGCTGGCAAAGGTGGTATGGGCGATTAAGCCCGTGTCACCACCATAGGCGGACTCATCGTCGCTGCTGTCAAAGTCGCCGGTTGAGGCAGCAGTTGGGATACTACTGCTACCAGTTTGTGGTGTGTTGCCTGCTGCCGTCGGGTCATAGTGAAACTGAATAGGTGCAGCCGGATTGGCGATATTCTTGAGGAGTACCTCAATATTGCCTAACCGGCTTTCAATTTGATCAATCTTCTTCTCACTGTCGGTGAGGCAAGGATGAATTTCCAAGTCAGCACTCTGTTCTTGCCACGTGGGAGCAGGGTGAGGTGCCGTGGCGAGTCTGGCAAGTTGAAGTTGCATGACGGCATGCGCGAGACCATGTCAAGTTGAGACGGTCATGACGCCAACACAGTAGAAGGAGAAGGGGAGGAATGTTGCAAGACAGCCAAGTACAGCAATAAAAAAAGGCGGTTTGTGAGGGGTTGCTCGTGAACGAGGTGTATTGAGAAGGTTTGTGGGATATCAAGGCAAGCAGAGGAAACATGGCAGACTAACTATTGTGATGAAATGAGAACACGCTGTCGAGGTTCTTTGGGCCGCTGACCGGCGCCTGTGGAGGTGCAAGATCTTTTGGCGGTGCGGCAATTTGAGCATGGCCAGTCTTTATCACAGCGAATCTATATACGGCAAAGATGAAGCTAAAATGTCAGCCTCGTGGATCATGAAGAGTGGAATGAGCGCAAGCCGAGCAAAAGCCAGATGTGGCAGAGAGCAGCCCAACTGCAGGCTGAGATGCCTAAAGAGGCGGATGAAAGCTCAAGGGTAGTCAAGGGCATCATCGAATGGTAATACAAAAATGACTGCGCTCATTCCCCCATTGTCGGCCACCCTGGGTGTGTGAGGTGGTACTATGACGTACCTTTCTTAGTCGACATTGATCACACTGCGACGCGGGACGACCTAGTGGTTAGCACAGATGCTCCTTGGATCCATTGCCAACAATGAAGATCAACTCGAGACACAATTATGCAGGCAAGAATAGGCGAGGATAGCAAGAAGCACGGCGTCCACGCCATGACCACGGCCCCGGCCACGACCACGGCCACGAGGCGGTGACTGATCCGGGACACGGCAACACACGGCAGCACGGGTCCGAAGACGGCGGCGGATGGATGAAGCGACCGGTTTCACTCGTCAAGGGCATCTTGCGTCCTCTGCCGTACCTTGGGGTGCAAACAGGACAGGACTCGAGGATGCGGCTTGAACACAACTTACAGCTCGTCGGCCGCTGGGATCGTCGGCGGCCGCGGAGGCAACTCCTCCGTGAGACAGAGCCAGGCCCTGGGCCGAATTCTGCATGGCCCTTCTTTTGCAGCTTTGTCTTGGGGTGGGAAACGACCGAGGGGCGGCAGCTGGAGATGAATAAAGTGCTCGAGTCTGCCTGTGGCCTTGTGCCGGTTCCAGGTGCGGTACCAGTTCCAGTTCCAGTTCCAGTCCCAGTTCCAGTTCGAGTCTGGTTCCTGGCCCAGCCCTACAACGGACTAACTGGTACTATCAAATTAGAGCTTAGACGGGTTCAACGGATGTCGGTGTCGAATGCCATTCCACCTAGTCGAAGGGTTGGCGGGGAGGTGCCACAAGACTGGCCAAGGCCAACAGAGCTTATTGCGATGGCAATACGTCGTTTTCCTCTTTCTGGTTTTTGGTGCGTCGGTGCAGGTAGCTAATGGCAGATGGCAAATGCAAGCACTTTGGCTGGCGATGGAAAGCGAAATTGTGGTGTACAAAAGTTGATGGCTTCTTGGACATGATTGGATTAAAGGCAAATTCCTTGGCCATCATGACCAATTCTTGCTACTCGGGCCCCGCGGACGCCGCGGCAGCCGCAGAGGCTTGGGCCTGCCAAGCTGCATGGCTCCTGCCTTATCCTTTCGTTGTCGTCTTCGGCCGCAGACCGAGCCATGCCAAATGGAGACAAGCTTGGAGCACTCGAGGGTTTGGCGGAACGCCAGCCGCTTCGGCGTGACTGGATGCAACGCAAAGACCACTCGAATCTCGTCAATCAACTTCCAATCTCCCAGCGCGAAGCATGTTCCTCCGCATGTTGCGGCTCTGAGACTTCCGGCCTTCTACTCCTGCCCTTGACCCAGACCCGAGCATGACGGATACCGGGCGGTTGACCCCCTGCCTGAGTTCGGCGGACCAGCAGCGGAGTTGACCACGATGTGGCCGACTCATTGACGACAATCAGATAACTTTGAAATATTCGGTACAGAGGACATGGGAGCCAATTCAGGTGGCGGACTTTGCCCTTCCTGCTCCACCATGCCGTGCACCTGCGCCGTCGACGCAAATCTTCTCCGATCCCGCTTCCTTGTATAATGAACAACTCTCCCTGCTTGACACGGCATTTGACTTTCAGTTTATCAAACCGTAGCTTGCCAAGTGTGTTCCAGAAACCTGAATCACCGAATACGGAATTCGAGGAACCAACCTAGGGCGCTAGGGCTGCATGGCTGCGGATGGGAACCCAGGGATCGGCAAGTCGTTCTGCGTCCTGAGCCTCCAATCACCTTGACGGCGGCCTTTTTTTCTCCTCAAGTCACACAAGCCTGCATTACGCAAGGTTTCAAAGCCTGTGTAACTTAAATTCCTTTGAAGCCTACGTCTGAACACAGCCCACTCACGCAGCCGGTATATCGACTGTCGGAGCCGTCTCGGTCACGGAAGAAGACGGCACTGCAAAAACGGTGGAAATATCCATGGCGTGTTTGTCTCGAAGCTCCAGACCTCGTCCTCTTCATATAAGTCTGAGATAACTGTGTTACATCTGTCCTTGACCATATATTCTACATGGCCGTGGAACAGACGGAGGCGGCGAAAGTTGCCTCGCCGCCTTTGGGCAATTCTCACGAGTCTATCACTATAGTTCCTGAAGAAGCTGACCAACCCGACGTCAAACTCGATAAGCAAGCCACTGGAAGCTCAAGCTTCACATCTTTTCTCGTAAGTCACTGCGAAGCATGTCCTACTCCAGTTCTAGTGCGGAAGTTGACGAGGGGACCTAGCGTGTTTTCACATACAACGATAAGCTAGGATGGCTCTTAAACGTCATCGCCTGCCTGGGAATGATAGGCGCAGGCGTGGTTCTCCCTCTGATGGACGTTGTATTTGGAAAGTTTGTCAATACGTTTAACAACTTCGTTACCGGCAAGCTGTCGCCCGATGGGTACATGGACGAAGTTAGCCACTTTACGTACGTTGATTCATGCCGTCTTCATGCCACCTGTACTAATATGGTCTCTCGCACAGGCTGTACTTTGTATATCTCTTTATTGGTAAATTTTGCTTGACCTTCCTTTGGACCGTTAGTTATGAGACTTGTTGCTGCGCTGGGACCCCGACACTGACCAATACAGGTCCTCGTCAATATTACCGCCATCCGTACAACGAAGGAACTTCGAGTCGACTTTGTGCGCCAGACTCTGCGCCAGGAGATCTCCTTTTTCGACACTCCATCCTCGTCGGTATCTGGCCAAATCTCCGCCAACGGAAATCTTGTCAACAACGGCATATCGGAGAAGCTTGGACTCATCATTCAGGCTCTCTCTATGTTTGTGGCTGCCTTTGTCATTGCGTTTATAGTACAATGGAAATTGACTCTCATCACACTAGCTATTGTGCCAGTCAATACCATAGTCACACTGGGCTGCATCTATGTGGATGCATTGTACGAGTATAGGATGTTTGATATATACGCGGAATCGGGGTCGCTTGCTGAAGAAGCTTTTGCAACCATCCGTACCGCCCACGCGTTCTGGGCTTTCCCCAAGCTGACCATGAGATTTGACCGGATATTAGAGAGAGCTCAACAGATTGGCAAGAAAAAGTCTCTGGTCTATGCTATTCTGTTTCCCATTGAGTTCTTTAGTGTCATTGCGGGATATGCTTTAGCCTTTTGGCAGGGAATGAGGATGTATGCAAGTGGCGAGATCCAAAATCCGGGCACAGTTGTTACGTAAGCCGTGAACAGTCTATTTTTTTTCATAATCTATTGCTAACTTATCGAAGCGTGATTTTTGCCGTCCTGGTCGCAGCTCAAGCTCTCACGCAGATTGCACCACAGACTATTGCCATTTCTAAAGCAATGGCTGCGGCTCAAGACCTCTTCGTCATTATCGACCGACAATCCGCGATTGATTCCCTTTCAGAGGGCGGGGAGACTATCGAGAATTTCAAGGGCGATATTAAACTTCGCAAAGTGCGCTTTTCGTATCCCTCCCGGCCTGGTGTTCCGGTATTGCACGGATTGGACTTGGATATTCCGTCAGATAAGACTACCGCGCTAGTAGGTGCTAGTGGTTCCGGAAAGAGTACAATATTTGGGTTACTAGAGCGTTGGTATACCTACTCTGCGGGAACGATCACACTTGACAATTACAAGCTAGAAGATCTTAACTTGCGCTGGCTAAGGACCAATATTCGACTCGTTCAGCAGGAGCCTACTCTTTTCAGTGGAACTATTTACCAGAATGTTGTATATGGTCTTACGGGCACCGACAAGGAGGATCTGCCTCATGAAATGCGCAAACCTCTTGTCATTGAGGCCTGTAAAGCGGCTTTTGCTCACGAGTTTATTGAAGATCTGCCAAGAGGGTATGACACCTGGATTGGCGAGAGGGGGGCGTCGCTATCAGGTGGTCAGAAGCAGCGTATTGTCATTGCCCGCAGTATTATCTCCAATCCGAAGGTGCTCTTATTGGATGAGGCCACCAGTGCCCTCGACCCAAATGCCGAGAAAATTGTCCAGGCTGCATTGAATAACGTTGCCAAGGGCCGGACCATGGTTATTATTGCTCATCGATTATCGACAATTCGTGATGCGGACAATATAATCGTCATGTCGAAAGGCGAAACTGTCGAAAATGGAACACACCCCGAGTTGATTCAACGGGCAGGAGCGTACGCTAGGCTTGTTCGAGCACAGGATTTGGGAAAGACGTCTGATTCCATCGGAGATGAGCCCGAGGATGAGAAGGATGCCCGGGTAGTCGACGTGGATAAAGAGCTCACACGGGTCTCGACAACGGGTACGATATATGAGGAGACGAGGGGCGGAGGGAAGCGCTACGGCCTACTACACGGACTGATATTAGTTCTCAAAGAGCAAAGAACTCTGTGGTGGCCGACGTTTGTTGTTCTTCTGACATGTGTTGCTGGAGGTAAACTACCCCAATTCATTGCTTCAAACTTAAAATGCTAATATTCTCCTATAGGCGGTACCTATCCGGCCCTTGCCGTCTTGTTCTCTAAGATGATGGAAGCTTTTGAAACTATTGACGTTGACAAGGGTAACTTTTTCGCTCTAATGTTCTTCGTTGTAGCCTTGGGAAACCTCGTGCTGTATGCTGTTGCTGGCTGGTTGTCGAACATTGTTGCGCAGACTACTATGAGGTATTATCGAGGCGAGATCTTCAACAACACGCTCCGTCAAGACATGCCATTCTTCGACAAACCCGAAAACGGAACAGGGGCTCTCGTGTCACGGTTGGCATCAGAGCCCACTAGCCTCCAGGAACTACTGTCAATGAACATTTCTCTCTTAGTCATCTGCATCGTAAACCTCGTGGCCAGCTGCATCCTCGCCATCATATCAGGCTGGAAGTTGGGATTGGTTCTGACGTTTGGTGCTCTCCCATTCGTCGTGGGTTCGGGATATATGCGGATTCGACTAGAGTTCAAGTTTGAAGGAGACACCGTTGAGCGCTTCGCCAAGAGCAGTGCTGTAGCAGCTGAAGCAGTCATGGGGATCAGGACAGTTTCATCCCTTGCGCTCGAACGAGCCGTGATTGAGAGATACCGAGAGAAATTACAAGGTATCGCGCGTCATGCTATTGGCAGTCTTGGCTATAAAATGTTCTTCTATGCACTCAGCCAGTCTGTCTCTATGCTTGCCATGGGTCTGGGGTTCTGGTATGGTGGCAAGCTTGTGTCCACGGGCGAATACACCTCTGGTCAGTTTTACATTATATTTATCGCGATTGTGTTCTCTGGGGAAGCTGCCGCTATGCTATTCCAGTATTCGACAAGCATTACCAAGGCCGGGACGGCCATCAATTATATTTTCCGGCTCCGTCGGGACCGAATTCTCTTTGACGATGACGATAGCGGCGGGCGACCTGAGGGCAACGGCACCGTTGCTGAAAAGGGAACCAGTGGAAAGGGCACAGAAATGACCTTTGACAAAGTCCAGTTCTCTTATCCCTTACGACCGAAGCAAAAGGTCCTCCGCGGTGTTGACGTGGCCATCAAGTCCGGCAAAATGGTTGCTCTTGTAGGAGCCTCTGGCTGCGGAAAGTCCACCATGATAGCGCTCCTGCAACGCTTTTACGACCCGACAAGCGGCGAGCTCCGTGCCAACGGTCAAGATGTAAAGAGCCTCGATCGGTGCAAGTACCGTCGCGACATCGGACTTGTTCAACAAGAACCCGTGCTCTACCAGGGCTCCATACGAGAAAATATCTCTCTGGGCATTGAAAAAGGCGATCCATCGGAAGCACAAATCATCGAGGCCTGCAAAAGCGCCAATGTATGGGACTTTGTCTCGTCCTTACCAGAAGGCCTTGATACAGCATGCGGTAACCAGGGTCTGTCTCTGTCAGGTGGTCAACGCCAACGAATTGCCATTGCAAGAGCCTTGATTCGAAAGCCGCGATTGTTGCTGCTCGACGAGGCTACAAGTGCCTTGGACACTGAATCGGAAAAGGTTGTGAAGGAGGCGTTGGACCGTGCGGCAGAGGGCAGAACTACCATTGCCGTTGCCCATCGACTAAGCACGATTCGCGATGCTGATGTGATTGCCGTGTTTGCCAAGGGTAATATTGTGGAATTGGGGACGCATGACGAACTGGTGGATAAAAAGGGCATGTACTATGAGATGGTGCTGGGGCAGTCGTTGGATCGGGAGTCTTGATAGGCTTGTGCCACAGTGTATACTATTTATTACAGAGGGCTTGTAAGTGGTGTGTTTGGAAGGAGGCGTCGTGTGTATGCCCGACAGATACTCTATCATGTGGGGCGTTTGGTCTGTATACTGAATGACATGACCGAATATGTCTTTTGATCCATATTTGACGACTGGCTTGCTGGAATGTTTTTAGCCGTGGCTATTCACTCTTCCTCTTGAGACAGACGACCCATGACATTTCAACACTCACCAAGGCAACCCTGGGGTCCCCCGACATGTTTGTATGCAACTTCTACTTTGACTCTGCCATTGTAGTCAACTACTTTTGCTGACTGGACATAAATCCGCCGCCAGGCTCTTCCGTTCCATGTGCAATTATGCACGTACAATGCCGTGCAATTGCTAATTGACCTGGGCGTCGTGGAGACGGAGAGTCTCCCAATCGAAAACGAGGAGCAAACACTAGACGAGCTCGTCGCTCGGCTGGAAAAAACGCTCAAGCTTCTCCATCAGGTATTACCAGAAGATTTTACCGGAAAGGAGCGTCACATGATTGGCGTCAATCTGGGACCTTTCTCGGTCACCCGCGAGGCCATGAAATACGTTCATGAGATTAGTGTCCCAAGCTTGTGAGGCTCCCTTTACTGCTTAGGCCAGCGAGTAATGAAACTTTTTGTTTCTAGTCTCGTTAAAATATCAATAAAATACCATGACTAACTGTTCTTTTCATAATAACTGGTTTCATCACACAATGGTCTATAGTATTTTCTCAAGGTGTCCCGCTTACGATCCTCTCGGCATGGTGAGAAACTACCTTGGATCATCTACGACTGTGCGGATCCGAGGCAGGGCCGTAACACTTTATGGATAGTATCAATCCCTAAGCGGAGGATCCTATGCACCATTGACGAGTACGGTGACGTGTGTATCAGTGGTGTGCAGGAAAGCCCAGCACCGGGTGGGGGTATTTTGGGAGACATTTTCTTCAGCAGCGTCTGATTTGAAGGGAAAGTATGTTTACATTCTATAGATAATTTTATAAAACACATGGTACGACTTGGCAAAGTATAGATATAAAAAGCTAAACTTATGCAGCGACGTTAATTACCAGTTCTTGTCGTCATGTTCCCGTTTTAGCTCTGTGTCTGCTCCAGGGTGGCCTTTCAACAAACTCAACCGACTTAATCAACTCAATTAACTTGGCCCCTGGATTGGATTAATTGGAAACTCCCACGGCTGGGATTAGTTGGGGTTGGATGAGTTGGAAATTTGTCCTGTAACCTGAGAGTGATCAGATGTCTTTTTTTGAAGACTTCACTTTTGTCCTTTCATAAATCCCAACACGAGAGTGGGAGGTAACCAGTGAGCATCGGAGCCTGTGTTGAAGGTGAAGGGTCTCGATCGAATTCGAGAATGTCTTGACACAAGAAAAGAAAGAAAAGGATCTCTGTATCAGCTCACAATGTCCATGGAATTGCTCGCAACGAGTCTTGCAACAAATCGACTTACCGCCCTTTCAGAGCTACTCTAAAGACACCACCGCACTTCACCCTTCTTCTGGATATTAAATTTAGGCTTATTGACTCCTTGGCCGTTCCTCGCTCATACGAACCAGAAATTTTTACAATTTGAATTGTTTCGCACCGCGGGTTCAGTCACAACCGCCAAGACCGAGTATCGGAATCGGGTATGACGTTATCCATGTCTGGTGGCCAGCCAGACCCCCAGATCGCAGGAAAGTCGAGGGGGTTAATTCTCTATTTGATTGCTGTGGACTGCAATTGCCGCCGTCAAGGCGTTGCCAAGATACTCACGACGTGGTGGTTGAATGAGGCAGACAAGTCAATGAGGAAATATGGCTCATTGCGTCTCCTCAAGGGAGACGGTTGTATGAGGCTCTAGGATTTAGCAAAGTCGCAGCCGGTGCGAGGTTCGATGAAGTGAAGGACAGTTTATGATGACTAGGTTTTGGAATGAGTTACCTGTTTGCGTAATAGGGGAGCAGTCGAGTCAGCACAATGACACACGCAAAAAGCTGTTGATTCTTCGACTTCTCTGGACAATAATATTATGGTGCTTGAGCTATGAATACGTGCTCTGCACTCATGTTTTGCCAAGTCTTGAGCATGCAGCTTCTTTCCCTCCACAGACCCAGTCAACAAGCATAAAGATAAAGCCGAGTGAGCTGGGTGACTGGCCCAAATACCAGGGGTCTGTAAACGATGCCGATCGTGCCTCAGTTGCTGTTGCGCTGCCTCGGACAACACGGCCCAAGATATCTCCCCCGCCCCATATCAAGTGTGCCTTGCAGGGCTAGACTCTCTTGCGACCCGAAGACATGTGTTCCAAGTTCAGTTCTTTTGGATTCCGGAAATGCTGTAGTTGGCGGACGGTCCCGGCCATGGTGGTTGTTATAATCCTGCGACACGGCGTTGGCAGGGAGTTCTGTCGTTTCGTTTGAATTAGTCACTCCGTACCCTTTGTTACTACAGCTCCAAAACAAAGTGTCCTGATCGACATGACGCGACTAGTGCCATCTGTCGCCCCGGATTCCCCTGTTGGACACCTACGCTTGCGATGTCAAAGCCTCAGACTCAACATCTAATGACATTGAGGCCTACCGCGCGAGACACGAAGACAAGCTTGACAATGACGAACCCATTGTGGTGTCTTGGGATGGACCGTTCGATCCAGAAAACCCCAAGAATTGGAAAGGAGCTCGCAATGGGGCACGACCATTCTTGTCTCCTGCTTTACATTCGTCTCGCCCTTCTCGTCGACTATGGTGACCCCGTCTCTGGACGTCATCACCCGAGACCTCCAGGTTCCAACGGGGCTTATGCAGCAGCTGGTCATGTAAATCTTCCTTCTTGGCTACGCACAAGGACCATTTGTCTCTCCGTTGTCGGAGATCTTCGGTCGTGCTATTGTGCTCCAGCTAGCCAAGGTCATGTACTTGGTGTTTAACCTAGCTTGTGGGTTTGCACAAACAAAGGAGCAGATGCTTACGTTCCGATTTCTGAGCGGCGTAGGAGGAAGCGCTCCTCAAGCTGTAAGTGCAGCACGACCTGAGCAAAAGATGATAACGACGTGTTAACACAGGCAGATGTGCCATGGCATCTTGGCGGACTGCTGACGGAAAGAAGAACGGGGCAAGGGCCAAGCGATATACGGGATACTCACGTTTCTGGGACCGGTTCTCGCACCTATTTTAGGGGCGTACGTCTCCATACACACGAGCTGGCGCTGGATCTTTTGGTCAACATCTGCCTTCGACCTTGTCGTCCAAGTCGCCGCCTTGTTCTTCTTAAGGAAAGCCTATGGCCCCAGGATCCTCTCACAAAGGGCGAAGCGCCTATCTAAAGAGACTGGCCGGAGGCATGTCACGGAAGAGAACCGGCCCTTGTTCCAAATAGTCCGGCGTCGTATCTTGGTAGCATCCATTATGTTGTTTGCACATCCTGCTGTGCAAGTGCCGTCTTTATATCGCGCATATCTGTATGGTGTCATGTATCTTGTGTGAACAATGGACAACAGACACGCAAACATTTCTTGTTGCCCGCGTCTGACGATAGAGGCGATAGACTGTCCACATTTCCTATCGTCTGGGTAGGTACCTATGGCATGGCCAAAGGGCCTGCGAGTTTGAACTATTTGTCTCTTGGCTTAGGGTTTGTGATTGGGCTTCAAATCTCGCATTCATTTATTGACAAGGTTTGAAAACATTCCTTACTTCAGGCGTCCTGTTAACATGTCGCTGACTCTGTATGGCTAGCTGTACAAAACATTTCATGGCCAAGAGGATGGCCTGCCGGAGTGACGTGTGACGCCTATGATTATTGGTGCCGCACTATTTCCCATCGGCCTATTTGTCTATGGATGGACTGCGCAGGCAGGGACACACTGGATATTGCCCAATCTCGGCTGCATGATACTTGCCACGGGGCTCATCATTGCTTTTCAGAGTGCTCAGGCATACGTGGAGGATGCATACAACGAGCATTACGCAGCGAGTGCCGCTGCTGCTGGTGCGTTTCTACGTACAATGTTTGGCTCTAGCTTTCCATTGTTTGCGCCGAAAATATACCAAGTTCTTGGACTTGGATGGGGAAACTCCCTCCTTGCATTCACCACCATTGGCATTGGTGTAGTAAGCCCTGGGATGCTTTGGTTCTACGGACATAAGCTACGGGAATGGAGCGGAATGGGAATGAGATAGACGCTGGCTTCGCATTCCCCAGATGCTTGGGCTTGACGCGAGTTGAAGGCTGCGGTTAATGTATCGCCATGCCCGACACAGCACAGCATGGCGCATCATGCTTGTATGGCGAAAATGAGTGTATTGGTCGCATTGCCTCAGCAACTTACTTCATATAATATAGTTAGATCCTACTCTCTCCGTGCCGTATTCTCATGTGCCGATCGAGGCTGTCTTTCCGTGAGGTGCCGTCACTGGCCAACTTGTATTTGCACCCAGCCACCAAGCAGTACCACCTCTTTTGATTCAACAGCCGTCTATGAACGGAGTTGACGTGACGCTCAAGTCCTGCATTCTGGCTAAACGCCTTTATGCAGCCGGCCTCCTCGCACTTGAACGGGCGGGTATGCTGCTTGAGGTGCCGACTATGTTGACCTGTTAACGACGAGCCAGAAAGCACGCAACTCAGAACAACTTACGTCAGCGATCGTCTGGAAAAGAATTCCTGGCACTCCGGGCACCGAGAGAGACTTGTAGAAGCTGAGTTTTGTTGTAAATGGTCAGGTCGCCGTTGCAGCTTTGGGAGGGCATTCGCTGGCCGAGATGCTTCTTCCTCTACTTCGTCCTGTCCAGCAGGCTCGATAGGGCTTGACACCGCTTCATTATACTCTTCAAGCGGACCGCCGCTTCCCCGAACAACCCAGCTGGGATCCACATATTGGAGAGATCGGTTTTCGTGGTGATGATGTAGTTGATCGGATTCAGATGGCCCTGCCGGAGTTTGAACTGAAATTAGAGACCGACCCGGTTAAAAAGTAAAACGGGGTAAAAGAAGCCTGCAGGAGAGAATCAACGGAGCAGGGAAGACAAGTACGACGGCTGCGCGAAATGCAAAGTCGTAGGGAGGCAACAAGTGTACGGTACGCGGAAACCTGTAAGGACTGTGTGCGGTGAGACCGCCAGGGCCGCCCGTGGGAAAAAGAAAGAAAGAGAGAAAGAAAGGGCCACATGATGGGTGCCAATTTTTGAACGATTTATATTTTTACTTTCCCCGGACAAGTTTCGCATTGGCTCCCACCCCTCAACGGTATGCCACAAAATCTGCGTGGCGTCCTTGGCTGCATACAGACTCATTCAGCCAATCATCTTCTACTGGCTTCATTGGGACCTTTCTCAATGGTGTATAGCAGATAGGTATAAAGAGACAGCATTTGGAAACTTAGATTTGTCGACATCAGTTTCAAATCAACGTCTTGGGTGATTCCTGACTCCGTTCAACGTATAATCTCAAGTTCTCTGATATAAGATCGTTGCACTCGTATCCAACAACTACCGAGCATGTCTTCGGTAATCTTTTGCTGCAGTGAAATTAGGCCCTACTGCCCCCAATATCTCTCTCACGAGGGCAGGTTTACCGCTTTCATGTCGTGGGCTGCCTTCCCAAGAGAATCCGCACTCGACAGCACGAGCGAAACAAGGACCGATCTTGTCCATCTCACTCCACCTTTTGCCGTTCAGCTCGTCAGGCAGAAGAACTACGGTGCGCTTGAGTCAAAGAAGTATTTCATCCCAGACAGGGACAATCCCAACGGGTCTCTCGAGGTAGTCGAAGATGACTTGATTCAAGCCAATTTCCAAAAACTCAACACGTAGGCATGCTCACAAACACAATTCTTTGGCTCAATTCTGAACAATCCTATCAAGGTACAAGAACTACAAGTGCGAGGCTCACGACAAATTCTACGAAGTCAACATTTATCAGAAGGATCCGGTGAATAAGCATCACTGGCGAGCGACGCTAGCGAGACCGGCTCGTGATATTGACCTAGGCCAGTGACCTGTACTTTCCCAAGCAGGGCTTTGAACTGTATCGGGCTGTTGGATAACCGCAGTTACGAAGGGTGATTCTACGGGACGATGAGTCCACGTCTCTGGCAATAATATGGCACTCGTAGAAGGAGTTGAGGAGAATCTGAAAACCTAATGCTGAGAGATCTCACTTGAGAAACAAACTGTTGGATCTGATTGCCTTTGATGATGTGAACTAGCCTGGTTATAAAACTAGTCTTACCGAAATAACGACATTCATTATCATTAGATATGTGCAATTTTGTTGTTTGCCTAACTGTGCAATCAAGAATGATGTAGTCGGGTGCTCTAGGCAAGTCCCCGGCCTGCTTCCTACTTTTCACTGGCCTTGGAGACATAATCTGATAAGCCTTGTACTCACCAAAACGAAAGACCCGATGATGGTTGGAAATTTAGCTGTCGTGAAATAGTTTCATTGGGCTTATCTTAGCTCCAGAGACGGGCACAGCGGTGCAGACTATTGGATTCCTAGCTCTGCGGGAAGGACGGTAAGCCGATGAGAAGGGTTGATACTGGCCATGCTGAAATGCTCTAGGCTGAGATGGAGCTTACAATAAGAGTAAGGCAATTTCAAAGGGTCGCGGATGATGCCGCATGCCTGTAGTGCAAGCACGTACGCTCTCCTTTGGGCTAGAACTGTGAGCAGGCGATCCTTCTCAAAGGCTACAGCTTCACGAAGAGAAGATCATTGCTCTTTGCAGAGTCCATAATATGAGATCTAAATTGGAGCCTCTGAAAGCACTTGATCTCTTTTCTTTCAGACTTAAAATAAAGTTCTAGAACAGAGAGAAAACTAAAAGTTTGAGCTGCGGCATGGCCTAGATGCATACGAAGCTTAGGTTACGTTGCTCAAATACAAATGTGAGCAAATAAAAGTGGGACCAAATGCGTAATACTGGGCTGGATCGGGTTCTTTTTATTGATAATAAGCTATATATTATTTAACTTAAATGCCACAGATCTATAAGGACAGGGGTGCTTCCCTTGAATAGGCTTGATAATCAAGCCGATGCTACTCTGCGGGGAAACATAATAGTGTTTTCATTAATTAACCTGGTTTCGCTTAGTTCACTTTCAGCTTATCTAACGTGTATATATACTTCATGTTAAGCTACCAAATAGCCTGGTTGCCAGTGGATTTGAATACAAGGGGCTACATGTTAGAAGCAAAGCAACTACAAGTCAAGGGGGAAAAGAATTGCCAGCTTAGGTAGTTAACCACCGTTAAGTCGACCTTCACAAGCTGCCACTTGCCTGAGCATTGCCCTTCCAGTGAGCTAGACCACATCTCCCGACTTGCGTGCTACTCATACTGAAGCATGGGAAACTTATTCCCATGTTAGGCTATCACTGGGGAACTGAGAATCTCGACCCTACAGTCATTCTGGGCAAACCTGGCATACAGCCCTACTGGCCTCGTTATGCAGCTGGTTGATGCCAGCATCTCCGACAACTTCGGTCGAAAGCACCCCCTCTATGCCTCGATGGCACTCCTCTTCCTCGGTTCCATCATCTTTGCCCTCATGGGCACTCTCATCGCAGGACGGGTCCTTCAGGGGCTCGGAGGCGGGGGAATTGACATTCTGGCGACGGTCATCCTTGCGGATATGACAACGCTGCAGTCACGCTAAAGTATCTCAGCTTCATGTCTATTCCGACAGCCGTTGGCATCATTATGGGCCCCCTTGCTGGCTCGCTCTTCTCCACCTATGCTACTAGAAGATGGATTGGAATCATTGTATGCATTAACCTGCCGCTGTTGGGCATCGGGACCGCACTTCTATTCTTGTTCCTCAAACTTCGCCCGGTGCCGCTTTATGAGACCCTTGTGAGCAACCTGAGCCGTCCCAACGACCTCTTCGTTGTCGGAACGAGCTTGTCCATTCCAGTCAGCTGGGCTGGGCCTTTGTTCCCATGGGCCTCCTGGCAAACTCTGCTTCCGTTATTCCCAGGAGCGGCGACACCCATAGTATTCGAATTGTATGAGGTCAGGCCCACGGTGCCCGTCGTTCCCCGTTGACTCTTCCAATCAAAGACTGGAAACATGGCCCTGACGGGAGGCTTCCTCCGCGGCATGGTTCTCCCCCCGCTGCTGCAATACCTGCCTTTGTTGTATCGAGCAGTGGAGCTCGAGATGGCCATCTCATCGGCTGGGTTTTTGCTGCCCACCGCCCC